GGCTACTTCAGTTTTTAAATTGCAGAAGTAAGACATGCTCATTTGTAGAAGCAAGTAGAGCACGTAATAAAAGGTCCCTTCATATCACTGGTCCCATTCTGTGGAGGGTGCTGCTGTTAAGTGTTTGTATCTTTCTAGGCCTCTTGGGGGATATAATACGAATGCGAGATTGTGGTGTAAACTTATGCACATACTGACACTTTTTTCTTTTTTGCAAACACTGGAATCCATCATCGTATACTTACTGTCTTCATGATGCCTTTTATCATGTCAGCTTTTCTTCGCACTCTGCCACATCTGTTTTCGGCCTAGCCTCCCTAATGGTAATTTGCTGACACGATCCCTGTCAGCGGACAGTGAGGCCAGTCCCCGCGCACCCTGTGTATAGCGCTGTGCTCGTGCACAGGGCTCCCACAGGAAATGGTCTCGAAGTGAGACTGCTGGGTCGGGTGTGTTGTCTGTGAAATGCTGCCGTGTGCCTTTACGCTGCCCCTCATGAGGCCATCCCAGTCTGCACTGGTCCCTGAAGTTCCTGAAGAAGCCCCGGGACATCTGACCACACTGGTGCTGTACCTCTGCAGATACCTGGAAGAGGTGGGCTACACGGACACCATCCTCGACATGCGGTCCAAGCGTGTCCGTTCCCTGCTGGGCCGCTCACTGGAGCTCAATGGGGCTGTGGAGCCGACCGAAGGGGGCCCCAGGGCCACGCCTGGCCCCGGGGGGCTCAGCGGTGGCGAGTCACTGTTGGTGAAGCAGATCGAGGAGCAGATAAAGAGGTGAGCCCTTGGGCCTGCCGGTGTGTTCCCCGGCTCCTGCCCCTCCTGAGCAAGGCCTGTGATGGCAGGAGGTCCGCTGGTGTTCCTGGGGCTCGGGCGGCCCCCTCTCTTCCTGGAATATGTCATGGGCTTGTTTGTTGTGGAGCCCTCGGTCCCTTCCTTGCCAGGTACCCTGGATCCTGTTCTGGTCCCTACCATACCCTCTTCCATGGCCCCGTCTCCAGCCCTGCCCCCTCCTGAGACTCAGGCCCATGCACTCCTCAGCAGCATTCCGCGCCTCCTGAGGGCAGACTCCGGGCGGGCAGCTCGTGGGTGGGAGAAAGCATGGGTGGCCACCCGCAGAGAGCTCTTGTCTATCCTTCCTCCATCGGTAACTGTTAGTTCATCAGAATAAGTGATGTCATATAGGCGAGGCTCAGTGCTGTGAAGAGCACTAAAAAGGTGCAGCAGGAAAGAGTGAAGGGAAACCTGTGGTGGCTCACGCTTGTAATCCCAGCACTTTGGGAGGCAGAGGCAAGGGGATTGCCTGAGCCCATGGGTTCAAGACCAGCCTGGGCAACGTGGCGAGACCTTGTCTCTACAATAAATTAAAAAATTAGCTAGACCTGGTGGTGTGCATCTGTGGTTCCCGCTGCTTGGAAGGCTGAGGCAGAAGGATCACCTGAACCCAGCAGGTCGAGGCTGCGGACTGCACTCTGGGTGACAGAGTGAGACTCTGACTCAATAAGAAAGAAAAGAGTGATGGGAGAAACAGTGCTGCTTTGGATGGCGTGGGCAGGGAGAGCCTTCTTGGAGGTGGCACTTGGGCAGAGAACTACGTGAACTGCAGGGTAAGCCACATGAGCAGCTGGGGGGGGGGGGGGGGGATGTTCCAGGCAGAAGGACAGTGAATGAATGCCCAAGAAAGGGAAAGACCCACCGGTGCAGGAAGCCGCAGGAGGCTGGCGGGCTGCAGGGAGTGAGCGTGGAGGCTGAGGGCTGTGGTGAGGGTGCGCTCTCAGAAGCCTTCACACGGGCCTCATGGGCAGGCGTGAAGAGTTTGGATTCTGTTTGAGGGGTTGTTGAGTGGGGAGTGACTTAATCTGATGTATTTGATCCTCCTCAAGGAGAGGCTGTGGGACCCGGAGCAGAGGCAGGGAGGCTGGTTAGGAGGTGACTGCAAGGGCTGATGGGCGTGCGCACTGGGGTGAGACGTGTCCGCTCTTCAGTGGGCGTTGAGGGCCGAGTCAGTGCTCTTGAAAGAGCTGGAGGCGAGGGGAGAAGAAACGAAGGGTGACCCAGGCTTGCCTGAGCCCCTGAGAGCAGCACCTCCTGAGGGGGAATGAGGAGTCATTGCCCAGCCGCCGAGGCTATGTGAATGCGAGCTGCTTGTTTGTCCCCACATTTGGAACTGGGGGCATTTGGCTCCTGAACTTAGTGCTGGCTCACCAGCATGTGGCAGCTTTGGAAGCCACACTGTCTACAGTGACTGCGGGAGTGAGGGTGGAGCACAGAGAAGGGATCCTGCGGGTGCTGCCTGCTGAGTGGCTGGAGGGAGGGGCAGGAAGAGGGGGCAATGCAGGAGGCTGAACCTGCACCCATGCTGTGGGAGGAAAGCCTGTGAGGATGGCGTCCCAGCTGTTAGCGCAGAGCGATCTGGAAGGGCATGAAGAGGACGGAGAAGGGCACTGTGCAGTGATTGCTCTACCAAGTGGTGACTGTATACCTAGGCAGTTGACAGAAAACTCTGGAGCACCAACCTGATGGCAGAAAGGAGGGTATGTGCATTTGTCTGAACTTTGAGCTCCACCCTGCTTTCTCCTGTGGGGTCAAGCTGGACAAATCCTCCTTTAAAACCCGTCATCAAACCTGGAGGCCAGGAGCTGGAGCTGGAAGCAGGCGCGCCATCTTTTGCTGGGACAGTGCAAGCTTCTTGGGAGCAAGTGTCGCCCGCGTCCCAGCTTATCCCAGGATAGATGTTGCAGAGTGGCCGTTCCTCTTTCCTGTCGGGCATGTCTGCCCCTTGCGGGACCTGCCTTGTAGTCTGTGGGACGTGGGAATGGGGGCTGCTGAGTCCGTGGCACTTTCTCATCCAGCTTTCCTTCCAACTCAGCACACAAGGGAGGTGTGTGGTCAGGACTGGGGCTGACCACGGGGCCCTGTGTGTGTCAGGGTCAAGACTGCTCAGGCTCAGGGGCTTGGCCAGGTCCAGGCTCTGGCCACCAAGCCTGCGTGGGCGCCTTCCCACCTGAGCTTTGGCCCCTGGCGGAACTGACGCCCCCTGTTGTGGGTAGGAACGCTGCGGGCAAAGATGGCAAAGAGCGCTTGGGCGGCTCGGTGCTGGGGCAGATCCCCTTCCTGCAGAACTGTGAGGACGAGGACAGCGATGAGGACGACGAGCTGGACAGCGTGCAGCACAAGAAGCAGCGTGTGAAGGTGCCGCCCTCTGCTCCCCTGTCCTGTCCTGGGCTGGGGGTGGCATGCTCTCTTCCCGGAGTCCCGGCTCCCGCAGCCAGGCCTGTCCTGGGTGACTGCGGAGGGCCTGGGTGCTGGCTCTTCCCGCACCACCATGACCCTCTTCTCCCTGTCAGTTCAGAGGCTCCCGAGATGCCTCCTAAATGCTCGGGCCAGGTCAGCCTCATGGACTCTCCCTCGGCTGGCTGACCACGGTCCCAGGTGGATGTTTCTGATGTGACCCTTGCTCTCTGTGAGCCCCGCCAGGCAGGGATTTTGTGGGTCTTTTTGCTGCTCTGTCCCCATACCTTGAAAAGGGTGTGGAACACAGGCTCTCAGTATGTAGAGAGGTACGTGTCGAGTGAACATGGCTGGGCCCAGATCAGCCTGGTTGGGGCTCTGCAGGATGTGGGCATCCAGTCTGTTGCTGGTGTCAGGATCCGGACCCAGGCACGCCACCCTTGGGGAAGAGTCCAGGTTCCCTCAGCTTGGCGTCAAGATCAGCTCCCAGCGCAGCCCACACAGCACTGTTACCCCTTCCCTGGTGCCCCTTCCCTGCCACTATGAGGACACTTTTCTTGGGCTTGGATACTTTCGTCTGTTCTGTGAGCGTCCCTTTGGGCCTCCATGGGCCCAGCTCTGTGCTGGCAGCAGGGATGTGGAGACACAAAGGTCTGGTCCCTGGCGTGCAGGAGCTTGTAGCTGGTGGCAGCCTCGTAAGCGGTCATGTGCTGAAGGCCATGTCATGGTGGAGGCAGGGACGGGTGCCCATGAAGGAGGGACCTGATAACCCTGAACACTGTTCTTCCATTGGCGGGTCCCTTTGCATGGACGCCTCTTTCCCTTCACCTTCAGGCTCAGCTCAGACAGCCCCTCCAGGAAGCCTTCCTGACTTGCCCTCCCTCCCCAGGCCTGCCCACCGACTGGTGTTGGGTCCGTATCCCTCCCCGTGAGGGACCGGGTCTGTCTTGGGCTCTGCTTTGTCTCTACTGTCCCCAGTGAGGCTCAGCACAGGGTCCCAACAGATTGGGTACCTGTTAGTGCCCTGCGTGGTATGGAGGGCTCAGGGCGTAGCACTAGAGGAGGCTTAAGGAGACGCAGGATGTCTTAGGGCTAGGGGCTCAGGTGCTGGTCCCTGGTCCAGAAGGCCTGCCCCTCCTGCCCTCTTGGAATTGCTGCTCTTGTTTCAAGTATTACCTTATACGTCACCTCCTTTGGGACACTGTCCCACTCCTGCTCCTCCCACCAGAAATTGCCACTGAATTTTTCCTTTTTTTTTTTTTTTTTTTGAGTCAGAGTCTTACTCTGTCACCCAGACTAGAGTGCAGTGGCCGCTCCCAGCCACCGCAGCCTCGACCTGCTGGGCTCCGGCGATCCTTCCGCCTCAGCCTTCCAAGTAGCTGGAACTACAGGCGCGCGCTACCACACCCGGCTAATTTTTTGATTTGTTGTAGAGATGAGGTCTCGCCAAGTTGCCCAGGCGGGCCTTGAACCCGCGGGCTCAGGCAGTCCACTCACCTCAGCCTCCCAAGGCGTGGGATTACAGGCTAAGCCACCGAGCCCGGCTTTGAATTTTTCGCATTCGTCACCATACTTGTCGACACACCCCTTGGGCTGGCTCTTGTGTGGGATTTCTGTCTTCAGGGAGGCTTAGCTATAAACCCTGACCATGACCCAGAAGTCCTGCCTGTGACTCCAAGATGGGCTACTGGCCTGGTGGCGTGAATTTGGGCGCTGGCTTCCCTTTGTCTTGGGTTCGGTTTCCTGACCCACAAGATGGGACCAAGTCCCGTGTCTGGGTTGTTGAGTTCTTAGTGAAGATAAGCTCATGCACAGAAAAACCCCGGAAAACACGGTGGCCAACCCCTGCTGACTGCTCCTGGGTGGTATTCCTGCTGGCAGTTCCTGCTGTTGTCCTCATAGTCCTGGGTACCGCTGGCAGAGTGTGACTGGACAGGTCCCTTCTGTGACCCACCCTTCAAAGCCAATGATGGTTCCAGGCTTCTGCAGAGTCCTGACTTAGCCATTGCCTCTCTGGGGATGCTGTCTAAACCTTGACCATGAGTCTTCTCTGTGTCCCTTTGCTCTGGTCTCATGGATGCCTAAGAGGTGTTGCCTTCAGACCCCGCGTGGGGACCTAACCTGTGGGAGGGGTCAGCCACACCCTGGAGGAGTTCACAGTTGACTGCAGCTGTCCAGGGCGTGGGCAGAGCTTGGATGTGGTGACCTGGGCAAGTGGCCTCACTCTGCTTGGCCTGTTTCTCGCCTATAACATGGGAATAATCATGACGGTGGTCCTGGTAGCTGTTCACAGGGCCGGAGGTCAAGTGAAGCGTGTCTTCAAAGTACTTGTGTAAGCCCAGCAGCTGTGCAGAGTGTTTGATGAGTGTTTATTATTATTATTACTAATCACGTGGCACTTGCAGTTAGAATGCTGGAGCTTGTCCGTTCTCACTGTAACTGCACCTCTGCACTCACACACGGATGCAAGGACATGTCGTGCTCCCCCAGCAGGCTGTTACATTATCCACCCTTTCCTCGGGAGAGGCACAGTGCTAAGGGGGCAGGAGTAGCCCAGGCCAGGTGGAGGGCTGTGTGAGTGCGGGTGGCCGGGCCCACCCCAGGGATAGGCGGCTGCTGAATGCCCCAATGGGGAGCACAGCCATCAGGGTGGGTGCTCGGGGCAGCCAGCTGGCAGCTGAGGCAGGACTGTGAGTGGGGACAAGCAGAGGGCTGGGATCGTGGCTTACCCGTCCCGGCCGCAGGGTTGGCTTAGTCTCTGCACAAGAGCCCCTTACCTCTCTTGTGTCCTCCGTACCCAGCTCCCATCCAAGACCCTGGTGCCTGAAATGGAAGACGAGGATGAGGAGGATGACTCAGAGGATGCCATTAATGAGTTTGATTTCCTGGGCTCTGGAGAGGACGGGGAAGGGTCTCCAGATCCTCGGCGGTGTACTGCGGAGGGGAGCCCCCATGAGCTGGGTGAGTGGAGCCTCTCCTGGCCTTCCCCACCCGGGGCCTGCCCTTCCATGCTGCCGCCTGCAGCTGCTTCCTGCCCTCGGCTCTCCACCGGACGGATATACTTCCTTAGGGGAGAGTGGCCAAGGAGAGCAGGAGGCCAGGCCACAGCAGCCTGGCCGCTCACCCCTTCCCTGGAAAATCCCTGTGGGGACTCAGGCCTGCTCTTCCTGAAGCAGGGCCTCCAGCCCTCCCTGGCAGGCCTCCAGTTCTGGCCAACCTCAAGAAGGAACAGGATGAGGGCCCGGTGGGGGAGAGGCAGGTGGGGCAGGACGTGTCTTCCTCCCTGTCCTTGACTCCCGTTAGCAGGGCTCTCGGGGGTCACATGGGGTGGATGGCTGGGGACTGGGACCCGGGCAAGGGCAGTGACCTGCCCACTGCCCACAAAGGGTCCCAGGTAGCCTGTCTCCTCTGTCTCCCCGACCCGGGGCAAGAGCCTCGCCACCCCGCACAGTTGCAGAAAGCTTCCAGTGTGGGGAAGTCATCGCCTACACAAGGCTGTTGGGACTGGTGAGCCACCCCTGCCTGTGCCTTGTTCCTGCAGAAAGCCGTCGGGTCAAACTTCAGGGCATTCTGGCCGACCTGCGGGATGTGGACGGGCTGCCTCCCAAAGTGACTGGCCCTCCTCCTGGCACTCCCCAGCCCCGGCCACACGAAGGTAAGAGGCCCTGCTCCTGGCCCCAGTCCTGTGGGCCCACAGCAGAGGGAGGCTGCAGAGCTAAGCCCAGGGCTTCTGTGTCCTTCGGGCCAAGGCCCAGCCTCCAGTCTGCAGCCTCCCTGTCCCAAAAGTTCGTCTGTCTGTCTGTCTCCCTCTCTTTTGTCTGTCCTGCCCTGTCTGTCTGTCTCTCTCTGTCTCCTCCTCTCCAGCTGTAGTTCTTGATCTTGTCCTCCCCCTGCCTCTCTTTCTCGCTCCTTATCTCTCTCTGCCTCTCTCTGTCATTCTCTCTCTCCCTGGTCCTCTCTGCCCCTCCCTCCCCTCCCCCTACCAGGTTCCTTTGGCTTCTCCTCAGACGTTTTCATCATGGACACTATCGGGGGCGGGGAGGTGAGCCTGGGGGACTTGGCAGATCTCACCGTCACCAACGACAACGACCTCAGCTGTGATGTAAGTTCTCTGGGCGCCCCCCCAGGCCCCCATCGGGCACCATGCCCAGGACCGGCCCTAACTGGCTCTGACTCGGTGCTGCTGTGCTCAGGCCCTTAGACATGAGGACTCTCAGATCATTCCACAGCCCTGGGAGTTGGCTTCTCCTTCTCACCCTGTTTCATGGGGGTGCAGGTGCAGATGGGTAGTGGGACTAGACCGTGGTCACCGAGGACCAGGGCCTAGATGGCTGTGGAGCTGTGTCTTAATCATGGTGCCAGGCTGCACAACTCAGCGCTCCCTCCTACCCCTGGCAGTTTGGGATTCAGAAAGATGGCTTCAAGCCAAACCCCTAAACTCAGGCCAGCCTTGTGTGAATGGGGCAGTTGGGCTGGAATGAAAACGCTCTGGGTCTGAGATCCGTGGACAGGCCTCTGGCACCTGGAGCCCCGGCTTGGGTGTGTGTATCTTCCTGTAGCAGAACAGGGCCCCAGGCAGAGCCGACCCAGTGAGGTGGGTGCAACGCTGTGTGGTGTGGGAAGTGAGGCCAGGGCAGGGCAGTGTGCAGCATTCCGCCCACCCGTGCCACCTCCTCTGGGGGAGGGACAGTGTTCTAGGTTCTGCTGGGGAAGGAGGGGGAGCCACGCGACAGCAGATCCTCCGGCTCTGAGGAGCTATGGCCGGGGCGAGCCCCGTCTTAGGCAGGACGGCTGGGGTGAGCCCTGTCTTGGGGCGGTTGCTGAGACCTGCTTGGCAGGCTCCTTATGGTCTTTCTCGAGCCTGACCCTCTCAGGTCCTGGCCATCCTCCTGGGCACATGCAGTGTCTGGCGGGGGCCTGTGATTCTGCGCCCAATCCTCTTGCCACTCATGACTTGCCTCCACCTCCATGGTCAAGGGCTGGCTTAAGTGCCCCCCTCTCCTGGGACTTCATGACTTCCTAACCTGGCTCTCTGCAGCTGCTTTTTTCTGGCTATAATCCCGTCTCTCCTGGGGTAGCCAGAACAAGCCTTGTCATTTCCCCGCTCTGAACCCTTCCTTGGCTCCCGTTTCTCTGAGGCTTTTTCTCAGAGTGAAATGCAGACTCCGATTTGGCCTACCATCCTGTTCCTGCCAGCCCTTCTGGCCTCAAGCCCTACCACGCTCCTCCTTGCCTCTGCATCCCAGCTGCACTGACTTCTCAGGCCTGGACCTGCCCTTGCCTCCCCCTGCCTCAGGGCCTTTGCACATGCAGCCTCCCTCCCCAGCCACCTCCCTCCCCAGCCACCTCCCCTCCCCTGTCCCCTTACCTGCTTAAGCCCTGCTCACTTGTCTCCTCAGGAGAGCCTTACTGACCCCCGGAGAGGAGGCCAGGCTGCCTGGCATCTCCTCGTGCATGTTTAATTCATAGCACTGCTTGTAGCTCGTCATCCTCTGCTCCTGTGGGGTGGCTGATTGTCTCCCCCCATCCTCCTTGGGGTCAGGCCCCCTTCATCTCCCCAGAAACTAGCACATTGCAGGAAGTTGTTGAGTGAGCATAGGGGCTCTTCCTGGGAAAGAGGAAAGGAAGGGCAGCCCAGGCCGGAGCCCAGGCTGCAAGGGCCTTCCTGCAGGGAGATCTCGGCGCGGGAGGGTCCTGACGCCCTGGGTGTCAGCGCCTGGTGACTGCTAGGGTGGACTGAAGACACTGAGGCAGCTCCCCCCACCCCAGCTGTCTGACAGCAAAGATGCCTTTAAGAAGACGTGGAACCCCAAGTTCACCCTGCGCTCGCACTACGACGGCATCCGCTCCTTGGCCTTCCACCACAGCCAGTCGGCCCTGCTCACTGCCTCTGAGGACGGCACGCTCAAGCTGTGGAACCTGCAGAAGGCGGTCACAGCCAAGAAGTGAGGGCGGCAACCCCAGAGTGGGGGCTGGGACTTGGGGACAGGGTGCGTGGGGTCCTGGTGACATCGTGCTCCTCCGCCTCCCACAGGAATGCTGCGCTGGACGTGGAGCCTATCCACGCTTTCCGGGCCCACAGGTAGGGAGGTGATCCGCACCTGCGAGAACCCTGGTCTCAGAGCCTGTCTACCCCCACTCATGGCCATCCCAGGAGGCCCATGGCAGGAGGCAGGGCAGCAGGAGGACTCTGAGACTCCGTACCCCTCACGTCGTCCTGAGCAGCATGACACTCTCACGTGCACACGGCCTTCGCTTCTGGGCTGAGGCTCTGGTAGCTGGCTCTCGGCACAGCCCTTCAGGGAAGGAAGCAGAGGTGTGGGGAAGGCAAGGGACGGGCAGCCCACCCCGGCCGCACAGCCAGAACCCCAGCTGCCGAGCTGCCGAGTTCCTTTTGGCCATCCTTGAAAAGTGCTGAGGTCCTGAGGCCAGGGCGGGTTTTGAGCAGCTGTCCTCACGCCCCTCCCCCACCTTTGTACCCTCCAGGGGCCCCGTGCTGGCCGTTGCCATGGGCAGCAACAGTGAATACTGCTACAGTGGGGGTGCAGATGCCTGCATCCACAGCTGGAAGATTCCGGACCTCAACATGGACCCCTATGATGGCTACGGTGCGGACAGCTCCCCACCTCCCCTCCCCTCGACCCCATCCCCTGGGGCATGGTCCTCCTCCCCTCACTTGGCACTCCCTTGCCGGATGCTGCAGGCCCTGGGGCTCACGAGTGGTTAGTTGGGAGACGCGCCTTGGCATGTGGCTGCGGGCCATGTGAGCCGAGGCGAAGTGATGGTGGGGCCAGCTGTGAGCATCAGTGCTAGCTGAGCTGCCTCCGGAAGGCAGAGACTGGGGTCGCCTGGGCCGGGGGCAGGCACGTGCCAGGTGTGGCCGGCCCTCCCGGGCTGCATGCAGGAACCACCAGCGTGTCTGTGCTTGAGTGGAGGGGGCGTGTGAGGAGAGGCAGAGGTGGGTGAGCTGGGCCAGGCTGTAGGGATTGGGGCTTTTTCCTTAGGCCCTACGAGCTAAGCAGAGAAGTAACCAGACTGTCACTTTGTTCGGTGTCTGTCCCCTGCTCTGTGATACCTCTTCTGATCACACACATGGCCCTGTGCTACATATTGTCAGGGCAGAACAGCCACCGTTCTCCAGAGAACAGGCTCACCTGTGAAAGGCCAGCAGTCAGCCCCAGCCACATTAGCTGCCACACTTGGGTGTCAGCAGGGCTCAGACAAGAACCACCTGCGTGGCCCCCAGTGCTCAGGGAGACAATGATGGGGCCTCTGAGTGACAAGAGGGATTTGGAGAAACTGGGCGAGGCTTGTCCGCTGGGCGTGAGCAGAAAAGCCTCTGCACAGACCCAGGCTGGGGCCCGTGGTGCAGAGGCTGTGTGCCACTCCTTGAAGGCCGTAGAGTATGCTGTTCCCTCCTCCTCAGCTGAGGCCTAGAAATCCTGTATTGGGCAGCCACTGTCTGGGCCCGGGGAAGACAGTCATGAGTAGAGGGGAATCCCTGCTGCTGGTGCCCGAGCATCTTCCCAGAGAACTGCCCCCGGGCTGTCTCAGTGGTGGGCAGCTCCGAGAGGGCCAGGGTGCTGAGTGTGAAGCTGGATGCAGAGGGCTCAAGCCCAGCTGCCTGGGTCTTAGCAGAGCTGGAGCTCTGAGCTGGGGCCGGCAGCCCTGACGTTCCTGTTTCCTCCTTGCGGCCGGCACAGACCCGAGTGTGCTGAGCCACGTCCTGGAGGGCCACGGGGACGCCGTGTGGGGCCTGGCCTTCAGCCCCGCCTCCCAGCGCCTGGCCTCCTGCTCAGCCGATGGCACAGTCCGGATCTGGGACCCCAGTGGCAGCAGCCCGACCTGCCTCTGTACCTTCTCCACAGCCAGCGGTGAGTGGGGAACCCCGGCACCTCAGAGCAGTGTGGAGCTGGAGGCCATTCGGTGGCTCTGACGAGGGTGCAGGCCTCGCGCCCACAGCCACCCACAGGGTGGGACCGGGCCCATCAGGCAGCCTCTCTCCCCTGTGCCCTCAGAGCACGGGATCCCCACCTCAGTGGCCTTCACCAGCACCGAGCCTGCCCACGTCGTGGCATCCTTCCGCTCTGGCGACACCGTCCTGTATGACCTGGAGGCTGGCAGTGCCCTCCTCACGCTGGAGTCCCGGGGGAGCAGTGGTAAGGGTGCCCTCAGGGCCGGTGGCTAGGCCCAGCCAGGGTTCGGGCGGGGGGGTCTGAATGTCTCCTGTGGTTTTGGTGACCTGCTTGCCAGGCAGCACAGGGTGACTCCCCTGTGCCCTCAGGGGTCCTGGGCAGGAAGGAAATAAGGCTCAGTGGAGGGCACTGCCCTGCCTTCACGGCTCTGGCTCTCAGGGGCTGGGATGGAGGGTTTCACAGACACCCTTGGGGCCCTTTTGGTAGAGTGGTTGGATGCCTTCGTGTTTGTTGCCCTTGTCCACCCCCTGAACAAGGCCCAGGGTCTCATCTTGTCGAAGCAGCACTGAGGCGGAGGAGGGGTGGCCCGGTCTCCCCACTTCCTCTCCCCGACACGCAGGCATCTGCACTCCTCCTGCCTCTGCTCTGGGATCCTTGATGTTCCCTTTGACACCCCCCCCATTTCCCTCCAGGACCAACCCAGATCAACCAAGTGGTGAGTCATCCCAACCAGCCCCTCACCATCACGGCCCACGATGACAGGGGCATCCGCTTCCTGGACAATCGGACAGGTGAGGTTCTGACGCAGATGGCCGGAGCCGTGTGTCCACACTGGACATCTCCATCTCCTCCAGCTCCCAGGTTCCCACCGTGGGATGGGAGCCTGCCACCCCACCCCTCTCCTTCAGGTAAATCCGTGCACTCGATGGTCGCCCACCTAGATGCAGTCACCTGCCTCGCCGTGGACCCCAATGGTGTATTCCTGATGTCAGGAAGTAAGTTCTTGGCCATCCTGTTTCAGCAGGGGTGCAGTGTGCTGGGCCCCCCAGGGCTGGGGAGAAGAAGAGGGACCTGGGCACTGGCCCCAGGCAACATCAGAGGCTCAGGTCGGGTTGGGGCAGCTGGTCTGGGCAGGCATGACGGTAGTCCTGGCAGCTGACACCGAGCACACAGGGCCCAGCCCTGGCAGGACAGGACCTGCGTCATCATGTTTGATCTTCCGAGTGGCCCTGTGCGCTTGAGATGCTCATCCCCATTTCACGGAGATGGGGCCTGAGGCTCAGAGAAGTTTGTGGCTGGGTCACAGTTCCCTGGGCTGCAGGAATGGAAGGCCAGGGGTGTCGGGCCAAATCCCCCAGGGACTTGAGCCTTTGGTCCCACGCTGCTCTCTGGATAAGGGCACGGAGGCCCAGAGACAGTGCCTGGGAGGGAAGGAGGGACTTGCTGGGCAGAGAAGGGGCTGGAGCTCCCCAGGGGGAAGGGCGAGGGGCTGCCTTGAGAATGCCCAGGGCAGAGAGGACGTGAGCGGCGCCTGGAGGTGCAGGCGCCAGGAGGTGCAGGCGCAGCGAGTGGGGGCTGGCCAC